GCTATTATTTGAAAGGAAAGTATAAGGGCAAGATGCATGAGAACAGTCCCTACTTTAGTCTGCCTCTAGTGTTTTGGACGAGGTTGATAGGAAACAGGTTTACGAGTTGGGCAAAGATGACAGATTAAAAATGTCCTCATCAAGGGTTAAAGGTAGAAAGGTGAACTTGCCTATGATCAGTCTAATTCTCAGTCAAAGTATCTGCGTGATTATCTTGCTGATGAGGAGGATGCTTCACCTGTGAATGGACCATTAACAGCTGAAAAAATCTTGGGTAGAACTGGGAAGAAAGGAAAGAAGAGGATGGGGAAGGAGTACGTGGCACGTGTCGATGGAAGGGGTGAAGATGGTAACCTGCAGTCCAAACTTCAGCAGCAAACTGATGATTCCCTTTTCTTAAAGAAGGGAAAATGAAAACTGGAGGTTGATATTGGTACTCTTGATATCGAAACTTCTGTTCTCTGAGCTGATAAAGCATGCTAATTTGGCTTGTTGTAATATGCCAAGAATTCGATGATTTTTTACGTTCTCATTCTTCGTAATGCCCAAACCATTCCTCCATGGAAACACACAAACAGGGAGATTTTATTAGGAGGGCCTCATAAAACAAGGTAGAAAAGTGAAAGAAAGAAAATAGTAATTTTTTATTCACAAAAACAAATATTAAATGTGAAAGAAAGAAAATTTGAAGGGGTAAGATCAAAGTTGTTTTTAACCATGTTGGAATCGAACAACTTTCAGAGTCAAAGAAGTAAAAACCAGCAAAAATTCAGTTTAGATGATTTGGAATTCACTTTTCTCCCACTAATTCTCTTTATTAAAGCTCTGTTGAAAAATGAAAATCAAACCATGCGACTAGCTATGGACTGATATATTGGTTAGGTCTCTCTCTGTATATCAGTAGATTTTTGTTTCTGGTTTTTAATAAAAACAGAAGCACTTTAGGCCAAATTATCCTACTCCGAAACATCTTATCAAATTTACCTAATGTAGAAAAAGCCACAAACAAACTATTTCTTTTACGTTGAGTTAATTTTGACTATGTTTGGATATTAAATCAAGTCAGCCAATATTAATTAATTCTAAATGGTCAATTAAATTAACGGATAAATTTAAATAATGTATAAATATTAAGGATCAAATGTGTAATTATGTCAATTTTATTAACTGTCTAATCAACACTTCCGTTAACTGTTAACGGCTAGTGGCCTAATTGAATACATTTAAATAATTGGGTGATTTGATTGACAAGAATTCAAAAATAATGGTCAGCACTTCCGTTAACTGTTAACGGCTAGTGGTCTGATTGAATGTATGTAAATAGTCAGATAGTCTGATTTACAAGAATTCAAAAATAGTGGTCAAAATAAAAAAGGGTTATAGTTGAGTGGTCTCTGATATATTTTACCCTTTTTTTCTGTAGAAATGAGTCAACGCCGAACTCTAATAAAGCTGACGACATCCTCCATGATAGCAACTGAGCATCCAGCCCTCTTGGCTGAGGCTGAGAGGCTCCTTTATAAATAGCTGCTTTGAAGCCTCCGCCTTTCTTCATCAGTTTAGCCTTGATATATCTGAGAAGAAGAAGAAAAAAACCCTGAAAATCAAGTCGATTCTATATCCTTCCCGCGCCCACGCGCTATGTTTGGATACCCAACATTTCCACGCTCCTCCCTGACGTCTCCGTTATTTCAACTAACTGTAGACGAGTCCTACGACTTGGTGAGCAGCAGCGGGAGTTACAACTCGCCGAGTTCGCTACCGAGTTGTAGCACTCAAAAACAGAGTTTAATGCAAAGGAGCCATTCCCTTCATTCTCACTTTGACTCAAACCTTAACGAATTTGTTGACTCCAATTACAGTCGGGTTAGGAGAGCTTTAAGCACCGCTGACACGGAGCAGGTAATTTACTTAAGGATAGCCAGTTGAAAGTACAGACTGCAGACAAATTAACCCTTTAAAACAATTTCACTTGGATTTAAGTTTACTTTGTTGAATGAGTGGGAATAGGGGCGGAGGGGTGGTGGTCGTCGATCCGAGAGTCCATTGTGGAATGAGAGTAGTGCGAGTGCCATAATCGAAGGAATGAGCAGAACTCACCGCTACAGTCCCGAGGAAAAGAAACAACGGATTGAAAGATATCGATCCAAAAGAAACCTCAGGAACTTCAACAAGAAGATCAAGGTCTTTACTCTTAATCTTAATTCTAGATTTATGGAGTAGTAATTATGTTTCATTACATTTAATTGTAGTAATAAGTATATGCATACATGCATGCATTTACACGTGTAACATTAATAGAAAGACGTTATCTTTTAAAAGACATGGTTAAGTGATACTACCTTTTTTTTTCTTGTTGGTAAATGATCAAGTGATACTTTGAATGTTAGATGCTTGAGCTGGATTAATTTCTATCAACCATTTGGTGATGAATATCCATACTTTCATCAGTATACATGTAGGAAAACATTGGCAGACAGCAGGCCACGAATCCGAGGACGGTTTGCAAAAAATGAAGAAATTGAAAACAACGTTCCTCAAGTTGAATGGAGCCACCACATAGGTGGGGATGAAGAAGATGAGAACTGGATCCATTTTCTTGACTCACTCTCTGCCAATCAAAAACCTTCCTGGTAATCGTTTAACTGGAAAAAAAATCTCCAGGAAAAACCCAATGTGAAAAGTAGAACATAAAAAGGAAACACTAGTGAGTTGTGACTGATTTCATTCCTGAAACCTACCAAAATTTTTGGGGGTCTTTGTCAGACATTTTTCTAGAGTGTTTCTTTAGCCTTTTCAAACCTTGCCAATATTTTGATGTAATCAGACAGCAAAGAAAAAGTAAGTTTATTATTTTCAGAGCTCGTGTTGGTTGGTAATGATTAGCTTTGATGTTGTATGAGAATCTCAACTTATATCTATCTTTAGCTAAAGGCCATTACTCTTTTTCAAGCCAACAGAGAGGGGAAGGGCGGCTATGTTTATTTTCTGTCGGCCCCTGGAAGCGGCTGTGTGTTGCCCACTAAGTCCAATGAATAAAGACCTTTGCATTAGGGAAAAGGCGTTCAAAACAAAGTTACTAGAGAATCATCATTGTCCCCAAACTTTCTTCTTTGAATACTCGTAAATGGACAATAACCTTACTAAAGAATGCTACATCGAAGTTTATGGGGATTGCAGAGCGGGGGAAAAAGTGATGTGCGTTGCCGTTAATTTATTTATTGAAGTTACAAAATCCTGACATACAGCCTTTTTTTGTGCAAATTTAAATTCTTAGTAACTTCAATCGTTCATTATAACAATCTTTACTTTTGTTTTTCGATTCAAATCCCATCGGTTCACAATGCATTTGATAAGTAAAAACTGGGTCCAGTACGGTACGTTGTATAATGGCAGAAAAATGAGCCTGATGCAGTGAAATCCCATGCGCTTGGGAAGAGGCTAGCCGTCCCAATGATGATGGTAGGAATTGGTTTATAGTCTAAGCAGTGATGATTAGCCGTCTTTTGGACATAATTGAACTTCTACTTTCACCAACTAATGTTAATTGTTGCATTACCAAGAAGTTAAAATATTCGTAGTAGCTTAATATTGATTGACACGAGTAGCAGAGTGCTCCTCTCTTTTTGAATGAAAACTGGGTGCCCATTCTCACAATTAGCAGGATTTAACTCGGGCACCGTCCCATCAACAGCACTCCATTAAAGGTCTACCTTACGAATTACCCTGGAAAATCCTATCAAGTATTCAACAATATAAAGGCAATGGCCATAAACTATACCTGATTTCTTTTTCTTCACGTTAAGTTCATGTTCATACTTCATCGAATCAAAATGAAAAGTTTCCAGCTCTTTGGATTACAACAATTTCTAAGAACAAAATTTTAAGAGTTAAACCGTGTAATCACATAATTAACGATATGCCATCTTCACCCTGCGCTCTGATTTTTTATCTGCCTTCCTCTTGAAAGATACAGGATATAAGCTAAGCCGTAAAGGAAATACGAGCACTTGGGGAGTATTCCTGTGTCTTCTTCTTGACTTTCTTGAATTTCATAGACAACTTCATATCAAATAAGGAGAAGCAAGGCATGTTGATTGGGGGGGGGGGAAATCACACAAACGCAGAGAAACCTAATGCCATCTCACTGATACACTAATACCTGATATTCGCTGACCTTTAGTTTTGCTATCATCTTCTCCATGCCCTTTCATTTCCAATGCCACCTCTCGGACCTCATTATTTATGGTAAAAGAGATGCCTTTAGCTTTCATCTTTGAATTGCACTTGGGAAATGGATTCTGTACTACTGTGGTTGATTCGCTTTTGACGACATTTTCAGGAAGAGTATCATCATTTAAGACTGATGCAAGATCATTCATTTTGCCATCACCTTCTGCAAGCTTTTGCTTTTCCACCAAGACTTGGTTTTCCACCAAGGAGTTATTTTTAACATTCATCTCATCGGCAGACTCCTGAAGTGAAATTTGATAAGCAACATCATCTTCAGAAGCCCTCGATGATATCCTTTCTGAGATGTTTTCAAGAGAAGACATATTATTCAAGGGCAATGACATATTCTCCTGGTCTTCCATATCCATACCAACTGCAACATCATCTACCTTAATAGTGTATGCACCTGAATCTACATGAGAAACTTTAGAACTATTACACTCGCCACCCCGTGTAAGAGGTAAACTATTGTTCTCAGATGGAGAAGAAAAATCCAAAGCAGCTGCATCCAGTTCAATGTCCATGGAGGATGTTTGATAAGATATCACATTTTCATTTGGTATTACAGCATTTACACCATCACTCACATTCTCATTTAGTACGACAATATTTTGTTCATAGCAATTTTCTAGTTGCATACCCTGGTTTTGATTTTCAGTTTCAATGGAGGCAAATCCTACATCTGAGGCTTTACAAGTCTCTAGTTCTTCCTCAGTTGTAACCGTGTTAGTTATCACTACCATTTGAGAATCCCCAAATACAGGGGTTCAATGTTCTGAACATGTATTGTCTAATAAAGCATCATCCTTTTCAGGAAGAAGATCGAGCTTGATGGAATTTTCAAACACCCAATTGTTTGTAACAGATAACTCAATTGGCTCAGGAGTAGACGAAAAGCTTCTGGCTGTTGTCGGAGGCTGGGAGGAAGCCTCAGTTCCAGATATCAAATCCTTAACTTGGAAGCCATGTGATGGTATCTTGTCAATGATAGAATCAAAATCAATGGGTTTCACAGTTTTGGATACATTATTGGAGGCAGAGAAAGACTTTGCCATGTCATCCAGCAATAAATCACCTTCTCCACTAGAGATGGGATCCCACTTGAGCCAGCCAGCAGGCCAAGGGCAAGGTGTTTCAGAGTCAGATGGCTGAACATATGACACAGGTTCAACTCTGATAGCCTCCTTGAAAAAGTGCTTTCTTATTAAAGCGTTAGTCAAAAGATTCCAGAAAGAAGAAAGGGAGTTCCACACAGAATGAAACATTAACTACGGTCAACCTAAAAACTACAAAGTTTTGCGAGTTAGCATACCTACAATTTTTTGAAATAGCTGCTTTAGCTCGTTCCATAGAGAGACCAAGCAAAGATGCTAAGTTTGCAACATCATTCGGCCCTTCAACTTCACAGACAGAAGGTGCAGCACTAGAAAATATGATACTTTTTCCTCGAGTCCTATCCAGCATCAACTGGGACAGTATGCTTCAGATAATTAGTTCACATTGACAACATCTATCTTAAACAACCACAATTACATCTTATAAATCAATTAAATAACCAAAAGCCAATCTCCCAATTCATATCCTAGTTCATCACATTTCATCATTAATAAATTTAGAATACAGTTATGAGCTAAAACAGAAGAATTATTAGGAAACATCAACGCAACAAGCTTTGAGTTCCTCACCTTAGCATTGGATATCATTTGCCCCCTTCGATGAGCATCCACAATAAGATCAGAATATGCAATTTCAAAACGAACGCCACGCTGCCAGATCCCAAAATGAAAAATAAGATATCCGTTGAAACAAACCGATATTTCAATATTGAAGGAATATATAAATCAAGTCTATAACAAACCTTAAAAGCAGCTTTAACCATGGGTAATTTCAAACGAAACGGCAACTTATCTGAGAGATCAATTGAAATTATGTCCACCTATATTACAATGAAAATATATATATATATATATATATAAAGATTAAAAAACATATCCACAATTGTTACTCGATTTAAATTCGAATTAATAAAGGACCTCTGCCTTTTCGCACGCGTGATCAAATGTATTTTGGTTCAATGACCTAACGGCAACAATGTCGTATGTCTTCAATACCGGGTTCCCAGAATTTAAAGCCTGCGACTGCGACGCGGTGTCGATGCAGACAGTGAGGCGCGTGTACAGGCGGAAAGGAGAGGAGATAGGAACTCGGAGGAGGTCTCGGTGGAAGTTTACGGAACATGAGAGAAAAGGGGCGATGGGGAGGAGAGGGATCAAGCAACGGTCGCGATCAGACATGACGCCCCTGATCGTACGGCTGTAAGCGATTCCCGTGTAGCCCAGCTCCATCGCTTTGACCACGATTTTAATGCGGGTGGATTTGGCGGTGGAGTTGGCCTTGCCGAGTGGCGTGGAATCGGTGTGAGTAGAATGGGCATGAGTCGGGTCGGATTTTTAATCCACATGATATGATCCAAGAATAAGAAGTCCTCTCCTCGAGATTCGGCCCAACTAATTAAAATAAGATTTCATCTGATCTAACTCGATATGTAACTTAAAAATTTGATCCAAAATAATAATAAAATATTGTTTTTATTGAATAAAAATAATGACTTAATTGAAAAAATAATATATAGAAGAACATTATTATAATTATTTTTAAATATATAATTAAAAGTCTCGATTTAACCTAAACTCAATTTTTAAAAAAAATCTAACTCGATCGAGTCGGATTCGGGTCTCATGCCCATCACTAGGTGTAAGAAATATTAAGGTCGAAGAACCCCATAGGTTCTCAGACAGAAACAGATTTCAGGGTAAGGGTTTATGGTGTAGGGTTTAAAGATGAGGAGGAGCCGCTTTGGGTTTATACGTCGTCGTATGTAGCTCGTTAAATAATACACTTGGATCGTCAAATCGGTATATTGGACCACCTCTGTTTACAAGGGCTTTCTTATTGGGCCGACACTTGGCGCGCTGGTTTACGCTCGAAAGAGTTTTCATTTTTTAGCTCACAAAAGAAACACAAAAACCTTAAAATGCGCTTCAAAATAACCGCTAAAATATTCCACGTCACCGATCCGCGACTATGCTTCTCCTCATCTGATAGTTCATAGTTAAAACACACCACGGATCACCATCCCCACCCCACTTCTCCTATAAAACCCTCATCGTTTGGTTTGAATGTGTGTGACAAATCAAATCTCAAAAATCAGCCTTTGCTATAGACAAAAGTTCAAGATTCGAAGATGTCAGGCAGAGGCAAGGGAGGGAAGGGACTGGGTAAGGGAGGAGCAAAGCGCCACCGTAAGGTCCTCCGCGATAACATCCAGGGTATCACGAAGCCAGCAATTCGGCGTTTGGCTCGTAGGGGAGGAGTCAAGCGTATCAGCGGTCTAATTTACGAGGAAACCCGTGGAGTTTTGAAGATCTTCTTGGAGAACGTGATCCGTGACGCGGTTACGTACACGGAACATGCGAGGAGGAAGACCGTGACTGCTATGGATGTTGTTTATGCATTGAAGAGGCAGGGCAGGACTTTGTATGGATTTGGTGGTTAGATGATTTAGGAATTAGGGTTTTCAGTAAATTGATATATATATATATATATATCAAGAATGTTTTAGCATAGGATTAGGGTTATTGGCTTGTATTTAGGTGATTTATGTTGGGATTATAATTTGGGTTATGTTGTCTCCTGTAGTCGTTTGTAATCCTTGTTATGAAATGCAGATCTATAAAGAAAATTGAGAGTTCATTTGACTTAAGCTTAGGATTAATTGCCTTCGTAGTTTGTGAAAAAAGATGCTGGATACCTCTATCCCGGCAATCCCCCCATTCCTATTCCAATACGATGCAGGATAAATTCTTCAAGCAATTGAAGAAATATCAAAATAGTTTAAGATACCGACTGAAACTATATTCCCTTAAGAACTGAACCTCAAAGCAATAATATTTACCGAGGATCATCATCTTCAAAAGAAAATTAACAACTAAAAATTGGACTGTACCAATGTGTTCTGTGAAACAATAAAAGAGAAAACAAAAGGGCCCCCCCCCCTCAAGTGCCCATAGTTCATAGATTATACGCAGCTTATCTCGTTTGTCGAATCGGTGTGTGAGATTCACCCGACTGATTTGGATAGAAAGTCATTCGAACCTAAGTTGAAAATATTTGAAGGATAGAAAGTCGTTCGAACCTAAATTGAAAATATTTAAAAATTTGGACGACCAAATTGATAAAATTATAGATATTGGTATAGTTTTATCAATTTGGTTACAATACATGATTTTTAACCTTATTGTTAAAAATTTGGTGAAAGATTGGTAAAACATCATCTCTACGCCTTCCCAAAACAAGCAAACAGATTGCAAACCGAGTGTCAAAAATGGCAGCATCTCTAGGTCAAAACTTGCTGCCAGTCAACCTTCAATATTTAGTGAATTTTTCTCGCACCTTAACAATTGTGCCGTAATGGCCTAGGAATTCATTGACCTAAAACAAAATTTGCCATACAAATCAACTTTTTTATTTACATTGATCCAATACAAGCTACAAGTTGCCGAGGAAGCAACCTGCAACTTGTTCCTGACGAACGTGACTGCCTCTTCCAGCACTAATTTCACTTTGACAGCCGCAACTGGTTCAACACTGCCTCCTCTTATCAATGCCCTGGAAGTTTTTACAGGCAGCTATGAACTAACTGATGGAAACATTGGTATCCAAGGGACCAAGGCATTAATTTACTTGCTATTTCTTATACTACGTACGTGAATTTTTTTAACTTTTGTCAACCCTTTTTTTTTTCTCCTTTTACAATATATTGTAGTGGAAGGATTGGTCTCACTGCAGAATGAATTTGATGTACTGGAAGACTGGGGTGGCGACCCTTGTCTTCCTTCAACCTATTCATGGGATTGGATCAATTGCACATCTGGTTCCACAGCCCGAGTAACAGCATTGTAAGTTTATAAGTAATTTTCAAGATCAAAATAACTCTCTGGGTTTTCCTTGAAAGCTTGATGATCATTCATCATTTGGTTTGTTTAATTGTTCTTCAGGTATCTCGGTAGCTTTGATTTATCTGGTTTTCTTCCTGATTTTAGCTCCACGACAAGCCTCGAGATAATGTAAGTTGTATATATATTTGGCTCCAACTTTATTACTTAATTAAATTCTGCTTCATCTAAATGTTCTTTGTTTTGATTATAGAGATTTTCATAATAACAGCCTCATCGGGTCTATCCCAGAATTTCTTGGCACCTTACCTAATCTAAAACAATTGTGAGTTTTCTTGACAATCTAATTATTTCAGATATTCCCTTTTCCAATTATCGTGATGCTTAACTGAAAATGTTCGTCCTTGTTCAGGAACGTGGCTGGTAATGGTTTTAGTGGGCCGATTCCTTCCTCGATATCAAATAAAAAAAAGGTTAAAATTAGTGCAAGTAAACCAAATTTATTTGTAAAATGTTCATACCAGAGACTGATTTGGGTTGGGAAATATAACCGAGAACGAGTAATTTCCCTATAACCAGATTAGTGAGAATGCAAAATAAAAGCGGAAAAATAATACCCGAAATTGATAACGGAGTTCAGCCAATTGTGCTTACGTCTCCAGACTGCTGCAGATCTTTTACTAAGAGAGAAAATTTACAGGTGTTTACAAAACACTCACTACTCACAAGAAAGCTCTCTAGTATTGGGAGAAAGAAATGATTTTTGGGATGATATTTAAGCTAAATGAGCTAGGGTATTTATAGTTGAAACTTAGAGACTAATCTTTGAAAATACCCTAAAGTCTAGTGACTAAAAATAATTAACCCTATACTAATTTTCAGCCAAAGTTAGGCAGCCCACCCTTTGAATTCCTTCAGCCGCCCATGTTGTTTACTTTCCAACTTTGAAAATCAAGCCAAACATTGTTGAAAATGCAGCCCCTCCTTTGTTGAAATTTCAGCCTCTTTCTTTGACTTTAACAATCTCCCACTTGAAGACTGATTTTAATCTGTCTTCACACCTCGATCAATGCAACATCATTTCTAGTCTTGTTATTCTAGCATGCCAACTGAAGCTGAACACAACTTCAGTTTGTCTGTGGTCACCGTCTTTGTCAACATGTCTGCCGGATTTTGAGCTCCACTGATCTTTTCAAGTTTCAAAATCCCATCTTCCAGAAGAGACCGGATAAAATGATATCGCAGTTGTATGTGCTTCGTTCTGGAATGAAAAGACGGATTCTTTGCTAGATGGTTAGCACTTTGACTGTCGCAATACAAGACATTGTTTTCTTGTTTCTTGCCTAACTCTTCCAAGAAACTTTGGAGCCAAACCATCTCCTTGTTGGCTTCCGTAACAGCGACATATTCTGCTTCAGTTGTGGATAGAGCAACTATCTTATGTATTTGAGAAACCCAACTCACTGCGGTTCCTCCTAGAGTATAGACATACCCTGTAGTGCTCCTTCTGATGTCAACATTTCCGGCTAAGTCAGCATCTACAAAGCCTGTCAGTATTGTATCTCCACCTTTGAAACAAAGTGCTTTGTTTGTAGTACCCTGCAGATATCTGAGGATCCATTTGACTGCTTCCCAGTGTACCTTGCCCGGATTATTCATGTACCTGCTAACAGCTCCCACTGCTTGAGCAATATCTGGTCTGATACAAACATGATATACATCAGACTTCCAATTGATGAGGCGTACGGCACCTTCACCATGTGTGCACGTTCTTCCTCTGTCTTTGGTGACTGTTCTTTGGAGAGTCTGAAATAAACACCTAAAGGTGTACTTACTGGTTTAGCACCTTGCATGTTGAACCTGGAGAGTACTTTGTTGATGTACTCAGCCTGTGATAATATCAAAGTCCCCGACTTTGTGTCTCTCTTGATCCTCATCCCAAGAATCTGCTTTGCAGCGCCCAGATCCTTCATAGCAAACTGCTTCGACAATTTTTGCTTCAAGTTTATAATCTCTTGCATGTCTGAGCCTGCAACGAGCATGTCATCAACGTACAATAATAAAATAATGAAGCTGTTGTCGAACCTCTTGATGTAGCAACAATGATCTGCTTGACATCTGGTAAAACCACTACTACTCATGAAGCTATCGAACTTCTTGTACCACTGTCTAGGTGCTTGTTTTAAACCATACAAGCTCTTCTTCAACCTGCATACCAGGTTTTTCCTGCCTGCTTCTATGAAGCCTTCTGGTTGCCTCATATAGATTTTTCCCTCTAAATCACCATGAAGGAAAGCTGTCTTTACATCTAACTGCTCAATATGTAAATTCTCTGCAACTACAATTTTCAACACCAATCTGATTGTGGACAGTTTTACGACTGTATAGAAAATTTCATTGTAGTCAATACCTTCTTTTTTGCTGAAAGCCTTTGACAACCAATCTTGCTTTGTAGCGTTTGCTCTCATCATGCTCTTCTTTGATCCTATAAATCCACTTGTTATGGAGTGCTTTCTTGCCTAGTGGTAATTCAGCTAATTCCCACGTCTGATTCGACATAAGCGAGTCCATCTCATCTTTCATGGAAGACTCCCAATTGACTGAATCCTCCACTTACATTGCTTCATCATAGCACTCTGGTTCACCATTGTCAGTCAGCAACAAATAGTGCAAAGAAGGAGAATATCGTTGGGTTGGTTTAGGAATTATAGAGGAGCGTCTTAGTTCCGGTGTGCCTGGTTCTTCTTGAACTGCTTCAGGACTGATCTGAACATCATTTCCAGAAATCTCCTCAAACTCAGCAAATTCCTTTGTTTCAGCTTTGGTATTGGAGCTGCTTGATTCTACAGTTGACCTGTCTTTATACATCACATTCTCATTGAAAATGACATCTCTGCTTCTAATGATCTTCCGATTTTCATAGTCCCAAAACCGGTAACCGAACTCATCACCCCCGTAACCAACAAAGGCACATTTGTTGGACTTAGCATCAAGTTTACTTCTTTCAGCAGAGTCTATGTGTACATAAGAAATAAAACCAAACACTCTTAAGTGTGAAAGGTTTATTTCTTTCTTGCTCCAAACTTCCTCTGGTATTCTGCCATCTAAAGGAACTGAGGGCCCACGGTTGATCAGGTAAGCTGCAGTGTTAATAGCTTCAGCCCATAGAAATTTGGGCAATCCGGCATGTATCCTCATGCTTCTGGAATGTGCATTAAGAGTTCTGTTCATGCGCTCTGCTACGCCATTCTGCTGCGGTGTTATGGGAACTATTGTCTCCATCTTGATCCCATTATTTGCGCAGAATCTCTGAATCTACTGTCTCTGTACTCTCCTCCATTTTCAGACCTCAACCGCTTGACTTTCAAACCAATCTCATTTTCCACCATGGCCTTCCATTTTCTGAAGGTATCAAATACTTCTGATTTCTTCTTCAGAAAATAAACCCACACCTTCCTTGTAAAATCATCGATGAAGGTGACATAATATAATGAGCCTGTAAGAGATGGAACTGGAGATGGTCCCCATACATCAGTATGAATCAACTTTAACCTTTCTGCCTTGGGTGTCTTGCCAATCTTTGCAAAACTGACTTTCTTTTGTTTGCCAAAGATGCAATCCTCACATAGTCCGGCATCTACATTCTTTAGATCCGGCAGCTTCCCTTTTGACAAAAGTGTCTTCATCCCTTTTTCACTCATATGGCCAAGCCTTTGGTGCCATAGGTTTGATTTTCCATCAGCATCTACTGCAGTAATGATATTCTCTAAGTTTGAGGTTACATAGAGAGTACCAATTTTCTTACCACGAGCAATGACGAGTGCTCCTTTGGTAATCTTCCATTCACAGTCTGAAAAAGTTGTGCTATATCCTTCTCCATCAAGCTGTCCAACAAAAATCAAATTTCTTTTGAGACCAGAAATATGTCTCACCTTTCAGCGTCCAGGTGGTCTGGTTTGGCAGCTTTAGTCGGATGTCTCCTTTTCCGACGATCTTCAATGTTTCATCATCAACTAGATGAACATTCCCAAAATCACCATTGACATAATTCTCCATGATTTCTTAGCATGGGGTGGAGTGAAAAGATGCCCCTGAATCCAAGATCCATGATTCAATCGGACTGTTGACGCTTAGAATCATGGCATCACCTGTCTCCTCTCTCACGTTGGCAGAATCCTGTGCGCCGGTATTTTTCTTCAGTGCTCGGCAATCTCTTTTAAAGTGACCCTTCTTGCCGCAGTTATAACAGGTAAAATCTTTCTTTCCCGTTATTGATTTTCCCCTTCTGGATTTTGATCTGCCACGATTTGAATTTCTTTCTGAAGTTCTCCCTCTAGACTCTGTGTGCAAGGCTGAGCAGGTTGATGCTTCACCCGATTCTCTTCGTCGAATTTCTTCACTCAATACCAGATCCCGAACATCGTCGAATTTTAATTTTCTATTTCTCGACGAGCTGCTGACTGCTGTAACAGTAGCATTCCAACTGTCTGGTAGAGATGATAAGAGAATTAAAGCTCGAACTTCATCATCGAATTCAATTTCCACTGAACTCAACTGGGTTGTGATTGTGTTGAGTTCATTCAGGTGTTGTGCCACCGATGCCCCTTCCGTCATCCGCAAATTGAATAATCACCTCATCAAATGAACTTTGTTTGAGGCTGAAGGCTTCTCATACATACTGGAGAGAGCCGTCATAAGACCCGCCGTGGTCTTTTCCTTTGCTATGTTGAAAGCAACATTGCGAGATAACGTCAGTTGGATAACTCCGAGGGCTTGTCTGTCAAGAAGAGCCCAGTCTTCATTTTTCATGCCCTCTGATTGTTTTCCTAAAGAAATGACCATCCAGCTCAGTTGGTAGAGCACAAGGTTCTAAACCTTGAGGTCGTGGGATCAAGTCCCACGGAGGGCATTTCATAATTTGGAGGTCTCCTACGGAAGCTGCTCTCAACCTGGTGTGGGGGCAGCCTACTATCTTACCTCCCCCTTACCCCATACATATGGGAAAAAAGGGACAGCCATTTTTTTTTTGATTGTTTTCCTAAGAGGGGTTGATATAGATTTTTCTGGTACAGAAAATCTTCGATCTGCATCTTCCAAAAGCCAAAGTCTGCACCATCGAACTTTTCAATTTTCACATTCCCTTCGTCTGCAGCCATTGCTCCCACTCGAAT